TATAAATACAGTATTTACTAACAGACTAAATAATTAAACTCATTTTGCTAACAGGGAAACTCATTGATGGCAATACACATATAGATAGGTTTTTCAGGCAGCTTCACAAATCTGTTTCCTAAGATGGCATTACTAACTTATCTTTACTTCTTTTGAAAAGACTTGGGCAGGCAGGTCCTAATCAACCAGATATGATTTTTCCACAGTAAAAGGCAGAGGAGATGATGATCAACTAGGGATTTAATAAACCCACCTAAAACTATAATTCTTACATGGATCCCCATACGAGAAGAGAGAGTAGCAAGTCTTTTAGAGACTTGTTTCTCGGGTTGCTGTGAACAGTACCTTAGACAATTAGCAGAAAAAGTGTCTCTGATGCACTCGGTTTTCCCAGAGCTGCCACCAGGATGGAGACATTGACTTTGTTCTGTCTGCCGACAAAACGCAGCGCCACGTCCTTCACCTTCCTGGGCAAAATGAACAGGTCTTGGGAAATACAGACTGTTTAACAAACACCCTTTCCCCAGGGGGAGGCTCTAGCCATGGGTTTCCTTGCTTGTTCCCCACCCTCTCCTTGGTTTGGTCCTTCAGCCTGCTGCACCTCCAGGAAGAAGGGACCTCTAGGATGCAGGAGGCCATGGGCATGACTAGTGGTCACCAGCCCTGCAGGCTACTCCTCGCTTCTGCAGTCACACACCTCACAGATGGCAGAAGGGAAGCAGCCCAGGGAGGTCTGTTCAAATTACACACGGAACAGCTAGAAACTAAGCCATGTGGGATTGAAAGGGCCAACACCCAGAGTAACTGAAAATAAAAAGAGTTCTTGCAAAACTGCTGCCTTTCCTCACCATTTGACTACACACTGAGAGGATGCTCTTAATTCACACATGAAGCTCGCCCCCTTCTGCAAGTCAGTGAGCTCATCCAGGCTCCTTAAACATGTACACAGGTTAGGTACGGCTCAGGCTTGTGAGTACTTTGCACAGCCCAAAGCGGAGTGTCTTCTACTTCCCCTAAATAAAAAGCTCTTACTACCCAGGAAGGCCAGGCTTCGAGCCATGGAGCGTCAGGGACTGAGGGATTCTTGGAGTTGTGCAATGACACAGGCACCGTCCCCTGGGAATCTCAGCTGCTGTGTGCACAGCTAAGGGATTTGTATTCCACACAAGCACTTGCTCAGCTCCAAAGCTTCACCCTCCCATTTGGAACCGGAAAGAATGCATATACCACCCTCATCAAGGATCACCAGTCAGGAAGAAGGCTTACGGAAGTCAAATGCAACAGCTGACAGTGTACCTTTTCTACAGAGCCATGTTACACGTGTGTGAGGCAGCAACCCCATACAGAAACCCTCCCAGATGACCAAACGGCAAATGGAGCTGGTGTCCAACACGTCCAACTGATGTAGAAAAATTACATGAACACTAGCTACTTCTATTGTACTCAACCTATATATTACTTCATAATACGCATTACCTTCTAACACCCGCAAAGGGATACTGAAAACTGTTTCCAATGAAAACAGAGTGGCAGAAAGGCCATTCGACTTACCCAGTGCCACTCAGTAGGTCAGGCCTGTCTGAGAGGGCTTCTGATTTTAAATACTATTCACACAGACCACTATGCACCAGCCAAGTTTCTTCAGTGTTCTAACATACTAAGTAAATTAGGACATGTATAATGGGTCATACAGTCTGTGGTGCAGACACTCAGGCAAAACACTCAGCAGTCAGACAGTGTATAAGGATTCTCGAATCCAAGGATCTTTTCAGTGTTCTGGTTCCTAATCTGTAGCTCTGTGATTCAGCCTTCCAGGTGAGAGTGTCTTTTATTTTAAGCTTCTTTGAAATGTTTATTATTTTAAAAAAAAAATTGAAAAGTTTTAACTGAATTTTTTTTTCACATAATGTAATTTCGACTGTGTTTTCCTGTACCAGTTCCTCCCTACCGCCCTACCTGTTGGCTGAGGCTGCTCGTTCATTCCCAGCCGTCCAGACCCAAAATAATCACACAGAAACTATATTATTTGTAATACTGTTTGGCCACTATCTTAAATGTATTTTTCTCTAGCTCTTACATCTTAAATTAACCCATTTCTATTATTTTATATTTTATACAAGGCTTGGGGTTCACAGGCAAGGTTCCAGCGTGTCTGTATCTTGTGGTGGCTACATGGCGTCCCTTTGACTCTGCCTACTCTCTCTCTATATCCTTTAGAGCCTGGCTAATATTCTGTTAAGACACTGGTTGAAAGCAGCTTTTTTATTAACCAATGGCAACCAAGCATATTAACAGCATACAAAGGGGAATCCCACACCACCTCCCCTTGCCTTGGTACGGATCTTGGCCTAATGATACAAATTTAAGATTAATTTTGTTGTATGTATTTCTGTACTTGATTAAAGTATTGTGTTTGTGCACTCATTTAAAAATGTACTGTATAATTAAAAAATACATATTAATAGATGACATCTGTAAGAGTCAAGCTTATAGTCATGTTAGTTAGGTTTTTTAGATGTTTAAAGATATATTTCAGATGGGTAGATATTCTTCAAATCTTTCAAAGACTAACAGAATATGGCATTTAAAATGTTTTAATAACTTAGGACTTTTCATGACAATGAGATTCAGCTGTTCCTGGTAGCACAATTACTTCAAGAGAAAGATGGGCATCAAAGAAGCTTCTTATGGAGTTTGTTAGCCATTTGGGCAAAACCTGCTCTTGTCTGTACTGTTTGGTGTTATGCTGTATAAACTGGATACACAGGACCCACAGAGAAATGACTGCTAAACTTGCCTAAAGGTGAGACAGTCCTTTGGGGCTCCTGCTTCATGAAAGAGTCTGCCCCTGACATTCTGCAGGACATAGAAGAAAGTGACTGACAAACTGCCAATATAGGTGAAACTGTCTTTAATTATTTCCCACTTCATGGGAAAGTCTGCTTTGGGCCTGTTGGCTGAAGATGGATGCCCCCATGGTACAGAAGAACTTTGGACGACTGTCCAGGTATCAAGATGCCTCTGTCAATTCTAGAGTTTTGGAAGTTGCTTACAATGTACTTTCTGTTTACTTAGGTAATAGTATATCCTTCTGGAGTCTTTGATGGAGTTTTAAAAAGATAGTTATAATTATAAAAGATAAATTAGATATAAAACTTTAGACTCACAAATATGGATAGATAATAGATTATTTTCTTTAATTTGCCAAATGTCAATGAACTAAATATTGTAACTATAATTCTTGCTTGATAACGGCTTTGTTATTCTAATTTCCTTATGTTAAAGTTAAAACCTTCCTTTTTATTTGAACAGAGAAGGGGAAATGGTGTGGGAAGTCCTTCTGTATTTGTGTTGCTTTTATCGGTTAATGAATAAAGAAGTGATAGGGCAGAATAGAGGGAGGTGGAAAAACTAAATTAAATGTTGGCAGAAAGTAGGCGGAGTCATGGTGCGGGAGAATTATCTGTATTCTGTTAATCATGTATTTTAATAAAATGCTGATTGGCCAGGCAGGAAGTATAGGCAGATCAACCAGACAGGAAGTAGAGGTGGGGCTATGAGAACAGGGGAATGCTGGAAAGGAGGAAGCTCATTCCTCTCACTCCTGCGCAGACCACCAAAGAAGCAGGATGTAATCTATCTGGCTAAGAAAGGTACCGAGCCATGTGGCTAACATAGATAAGAATAATCGGTTAATATAAGCTACAAGGGCTAGTAAGTAGCCTGAGCTAATGGGCCAATCCGTTTTATAACTTATGGAGATCTGTGTGATTTTCTTTGGGACTTAACGGCTGCGGGAACCCAGTGGAACAGAAACCCCAACAAGCAGGCCCTCATGTTACAGAGTCAGGGAGACGCCATGTATCCACCAGAGGAGATATGAGGTAAACCATGACCCTTGTGGTAAAATATAAAAATGGGTTAATTTAAGATATAAAAGCTAGCTAGCAATATGGCTAAGTGATTGGCTAAGCAGCTTTTTAATTAATATAGTCTGTGTGATTATTTGGGGTCTGGGAGGCTGGAAATGAACGTGCAGCCTCAGCTACCACCTACCCACCGAATTTTAAGTTTCTCTTTCTTTAAAACAAAAGCAAAATAAAAACCCCACAAGAACAAGTCAAACAATCAAAAGACCAATAAGACATATAAGCAAACAAAATTCCCAAACAAAACAAAACGAGGCAAAATGCCTACACAAAACCCACTGAGCTTGTTTGCAGCTGGCCAACTACTCTTGCACATGGGAACTACCTGAAGTGTGGCTAATATCCCCAGTGAGATTCCACTAGTGAAAACTGGTTTTTTCCTTTGCCACCAATTACAGACAGCTTTCTTCGTTAGCGGTGGGACCTGTGTGGGCCTTGTATATGTCACCATAGTCTCTGCGAGGTTGTGTGTGCACCAGTCCTGCTGTGTCTGGAATGGGGTGCCTTTCAAAACACCCCACAGTCTGTGGGTAATCTCTCACTGCAAACGAACAGACACTTTTCATCATGTCAATCAAACAGCAATTCATTTTCTGGAGACTCGATACCTTCGGGGAGCTAAACAAGCCAAAAAGAGAGTTATGCTGGAAAGACAACGACCAGGAACTGAAGTGCGGTGTCTGAACAATATTCTTTAGCTCATCCGTTCATTCAGATGTGCTGCGAGTGCCTGCTCTACTAAGCAGAAACATAGAAACTTCAGACTGGAGATGGAGACATTTTACATGGAGCAAATCTCTTGAAGACCTGAGTTTGTAGTCAGACAGACACAGACAAATGGTGTTGGTTTTCTGTCAAGAACAACAGCCCTGGGAGAGGAACTACAGGGCCTACTTACTACTGAGCCCTAAGCACTTGGCTCGGTGCCTAGAAACAGTGGGAGCTGCAAACATATTTGTCCTCTGTATTACCGTGGGTTAGCTCTGTGGGTTTTGATAAGGGGGAATGTGAACAGGCGCCTGTGAGTCACATTCCCCAACTGTCCTGCTAAAGACATCAATGTCTCCATACCTGGATTGTCTGGTAATCAGAAGCATCGATTCCCTTCACCGTCACCTCGCGGAAAACCATGGGTTCCAGTTCCTCTTTGGTAAGATCACAGTGGTAAATGACACCTAGAAGGGGAGGAAGTCTTAGGTTAGCATCCAAGACTCATGAAAAACGAGGGCTCCAGAGATGCTAGGTGGTACCCGAGGCTAGCACCAGGCAGGACCCTATTCCATCAGCACCCTGGTAGGTGTGGGAGGCAGATGAGAAGAGTCTGCTAAGAGTGGTGCCCTGGAAGAGCGGAGGTCTCTTCATCAACACCACCTACTGCCTCCCCTCCTCCAACACCGTGATGGTTCTGCTTACTGTTAACCTGACTGTGTTTGGGTCACCTAATGGCCACATCTTAGGCGTTGCAGAGAGTATTTCCAGGAATTTAACTGAGGAAGGAAGACTCACCCCAACTGTGGGTAGTGCTATCCCATAGATTGGGGTCCTGGACAGAATATAAAGGGGACAAAGGAAGAAAGCAGGTGAGCACCATTGTTTGGCTCTCTGCTACCTGATCTGCCCTCGTGTGAGCAAGAAGCCAACTCTCAGGCCTTCCCCGCTGTCTTACCTACTTTTAGATTGCTGTGATAAAACACCATGACCAAGGTAATTTACAAAAAAAAAGAGAGAGAGAGATTTAATCTGGCTCAAAGTTTCACAGGGTTAGAGTCCATGATGGCAGAGTGATAGAACAGCCCAGAGCTCACAACCTGATCTGCAACTATCAGGCAGAGACACACTGTGAATCCCACCAGACTTCTGAAGCCTCAGAGCCCACCCCCAGGCACCCACCTCCTCCCACAAGGCCACACCTCCCAATCCTTCCCAAACAGTTCCACCAATTTAGGACCAAGAATCCAAATAAATGAGCTTATGGGGGCCATTCTCACTCAAACCACCACATCCACCATAGTGGATCCCACACCTTCAGCTGTGAGCCTTCTGTCCAGTATTTTATCACAGCAACCAGAAAAGTAACTAAAACCAACGCCACCCTGAGCACTCACTGCAGAAAACTCACACATCCCTGGGGATTTGAGAAAAGGAAGGATACCTAACTGACCTCAACAGCTTTTCTCCAACCCAGGTCACAAAGGAATGCCCCCCACCCCCATGGTAAACTCATCTGGAGTCATTTACCTGAATGGGCTCTGATGGGAAAGTCCCACGATCTACTCAAGGTCTACAGCCAGTGGGGGGCTCTTGACCAGTCCCTTTGGGCTTGTGCTACCTGACACACACCCAGCCAAGGACACAAAGGAACAAAGGTGATCCATCACACGTCATTTCAGAATCAAATTTTCAGCTGTCCCAGTAATTGTGGAAATTCCAAATAACTAACATATACCAAGAATTTTAGCTTATTAAAACCACTAATGAAAATTCTACTCCCTGAATTTAATGCTGCCCTCTTAATATTTAAGAATTACATCAACGAAACAATTAGGGAGTGAGTCAGAGAAGCTGGTGTGGAAACCTTAGCTCGTACTTGAAATATACACTGTCAAGGGGAAGACAAATTGGTCCCGAGACCCCAGTGCTTGCTGGAATCCCACAGGGCACAGTGAAACCGACTGCTCATGGATTAAAATGACAGCTCTCTTTCCTCTCAACCCCTCCATGGTAGGTATTTCTCCAGCAGCTGAGAAACAATATTCTGTATGTAAGTAACTATGACAGTTAATAAGGGTTTTTGGTTTGGTTTGTTTTTTAAATCAGTACAAGGTACACACACACACACACACACACACACACACACACACACCTCTGAATTGGGGAGAAAAATAGGTTCCAAACATTGCAACAAAAATAAGATGGAACAAAGAGCAAGCATGTGCCACACGATCACCCAATTTGTCCTGATGTCACCACAAATAATGAAGGATTCGGGAGCTAGAATTAAGAGCTCAGTGAACTCAGACAAGCCACCAGAAACTGGAATTAAAATCCCTAATGAAAGATGAAGAGGAGGAGACAGACTCTCCATTCCTGTCTACTCAGACGGCACAATTCTCAAGACAGAATGAATACACAACCGGGGCTGGCTGTCATGTAAAGAGAGTGGCCCATACTTCCTCCATTCTGGACAAACACACACAGGGATAAGCTTGCTGGTGTCCATCATAAATGTATTTTATCACTATTCCCTGTGTATAGTCATCTCGGTTAGCCCAGGTTAGTTTACTGCACATTCTTAATACTATAACAGGAACCACTGTAACCATGTCTGTCCCTCCTGATCATGTAGACAAAGTGAGCTGGAAGAAAACGCTCTGGGTCACAGTCAGCAGAGGCTGCCTAGGAAATGACTTCAAGATTGAAAGAAGGACTCGATTATAGAAGTTCCTTAAGGTAGAGGAAGTATCTGGCCTTAAGATGATCCCGGATAAAAAAGCAGTGCCATTACAACAGTAGGACAGAGGCAGGGAGAGCAAGTGGTGTCGCCTGAGGACGGAGGCAGGGAGAGCATCTGGCGTGGACTGAGGACAGAGGCTGGGAGAGCGGCTGGTGTCGCCTGAGGACGGAGGCAGGGAGGGCGGCTGGTGTGGACTGAAGACCGAGGACAGGAGAGCGGCTGGTGTGGGCTGAGGACTGAGGAGGCAGGGAGGGCGGCTGGTGTGGGCTGAGAAGTGAGAAGGGGTACCTAGGGATGACAGCACTCTGGGAAGAGGTGTGAAAAGAGTGTCGGCAGGATCTCCAATGTCGACATGAAGAGAAACAGGGTCCTGTAATTTAGGTAGGTATCTTACCTGCTCTATTACAAGGCAGGATTTAATAACACAAAAAAAGGGTAAAAAAAAAAATTACAAAAGCCAAGGCTCTTTTAAAAGGTTCTGTCTTTTCCAAAGCATGTGTTTCTTTGTTATTGGACGGCTGCTTTGCCCTTGGCGTTAGAAGGCCTGAGTCTGGAAACTCCACTCTCTGGTTTTAGGTGTCTTATTACATCAAGTGAGAAGGGAAGGATGGGGAGAGTGAGCGAGGAGACAGAGAGACAAACAGCACCACAGTAACAAATGGAGGCTTTCCGGGAAGCAGCCAGCAGCAAGCAACTAGGAACACTTTTCCCTCCAACCTCCACAGCCACGGCCACAGGCAGCAGTTCATTGTTGGCACAGAAACATCATTTCCCACTAGGACAACAAGCCCTTTTCTTCAGATAATGATGAAATAAACGGCCACATGGGGTCACTGGAGGAGGCTGCGGGCCTCGGGGACCCTGGATTTCTATTAAGAGCGGATGAGTCACCCTTATTTGTCTTCTTCTCTCTCCTTCGTTCATTTAAATGGCTGAAGACAAGAGTTTAAAGCACAATGTTTAGACCCAGCGGAAGCTTGAGAATAAAGTGTGGGCCCTGTGACTGCAGGGAGGGGGTGTCCCCCTCTGCTCACCGGTTACTGCTGAGCACCAGGTTCTGGGCAGGGGGCTAAGGGTAAGGGCTCCTGACTTCCAGCTTTGGGTCTGCTTCTACTCTCGTGGGCTCTTGTGCTCCCCTCAATCCCCTGAAAGGTACTTGGGGAGTAAGGCCTGATGCACCCCAACCCACTGACGGAGCATCACTCTCTCTGCTATAACAGTCCTGTCAGCAGGCTGTCAGGCTAAGATTTCTTATGAACTCAGAGGCGCAAACAAAATTGCACCCAGTCGAGGCACCACTGCAATCTGGTCAAATCCTGAAGGAAGGATGGCCACTTCATCACTCTCGCCAGAGACTGCCTCATCTACCAGCAAATAACGGCGACCAAATCGGAGGGACAGAGAGTGCTCCCCAGGAGCCTGGCAAGTGAACAAGACAAGTGTAGGAGCAGGTCTGCCTGGTCAGCTACGATCTGCCAACTGAGCAGACTCCTGGGGCAAACACAGTCTGTGTGCGGCCACAACTCTATACAGTGGAGGAGAGAGAAAAGTCCATGCAAAGCAAATGAATGTGTCCAGCTCTGCAGAAAGTATAAAACAGAATTATTTTACTTTAGAAAAAATTAACTCATACCACAAAGTGAAAATCTCATCTTTGAAGTATCTTCCTTTTCTAACAAATCTGAGACAACAACCTTTTTCCCCCCAATGACTGCACTTTTAGAATTAGTTTATTCTGGGAGGCATTCTGTATGCTGGGTGTGGCTGTTCAAGGGGTTTGTCCGTTACCTACCCTATACATCTCTGTTCAGATCAAGGCCTGGACTAAGACTTACATTTGTTGGCACCGAGAATAACAGCGGTTCCCACAGAAGGTAACAGGAATATGGTTTTTAGTTTCCTTTGTTCTGAATTCCTGATTCCCTCTAGATAGTTTTGTCTATAGCCCATCCTTGAATTCCCGGTTCCCTCTAGGTGGTTCTGTCCATAGTCCAGCCTGTGTTAGGCACAAACATCTTCGCACTGCCCCACTTCCCAGAAGACTCCCCCTCACCATCAGCGAAGGACCTCTCACCTGGAGACAGAAAGGACGTGAACTGGTAGAAGATCTCCGAGTCCTTTTTGCGCCCGCTGTACCCCACCACGCTGCCCACGTCCAGCGGGAAGGTCTTGAGGAGAGCACCTGTGGTCAGGTCGTGAAGCTGCAGAATGTTCTTCACGTCGTGGAGGTAGCACAAGACCAGGAAGTTGGACCTGACACAAGCCACCCACTCTGAAATGACAGGGAGAGAAAACCCAAAGCTGCTTTGAAAATCAGAGAGCACGTCACTCAGCGAACTAAACAGCAGGGCTAAAGCCCTGCTGTGTGTGCCGTGGTGACACCTGCAAGGTCCTTTCAGGATCTGCTTTAACCCTGCACCCAGTCTTCAGCACAGCGGATGCTGTTGTGTTCACCTACGGCACTCACGGTAACATGACAACACAACACACAACAACAGAGTTCAGTCTTGAGAACTGCATAGTGTTTAGGTCGCACTCACGGCCACCCATGGCTGCGTGAGTCCTGCAGACTGGACATGAGACACGTGGCTGCAAATATCCCTGCCTTGGAGCAGGTGCGAGCCTGGCAGCTCGGCAGTGCTCCTGGCTGTACCACCTCATGCATATAGCTCTGCCTCAGTATAGACGGGTCACCTGGTTCTCCATGTGACACTGGAAGGGTTCTGGCACAGCTTGCCGAAGGGAATGAAACGGTCCATCCAGCACCTGCTCTGCAACTCAGGACTGAAACGGTCCAGCCTGCTCTGTGACTCGTGACCAACTCAGCATCCAAAAACAGAAGGTCAGAGGAGGAACGCAGGAAGGTGTTCCTGGCATGCTATAAGCATCTCTCCCCATGCTGAGGAGTCTGGGAGAGACTACAGCCTGGCACGTCTACACTGAGGTGACCAGTTGCTACCTTAGTGGAAAACCCGTGCTGAGTTGGGGCTCTCAAGTTGCAGGTGTGAACTCTGCAGGGAAAAGTGGGTGGGGCTGTCTTGGGGCTTGTCTGACTGGCATGGGGGTTCAAGTCAGGGATCTTAATACTTAATACCAGATGGTGGAGGGGTGCAGCCCAACGCCCAGGCTGGGGAGAAGCCAAGCAAACTCGACTTCCTCAAGAACTACGGACGTTGTAGAAAGACACACCATGGGAGCCTGTGTCCCTGAGATCAGCTCTCTGCTGTCCACGCCAGCAATATCAGACATTTATGCAAAGCACGGTGGACAGGAGTTTCTCACAGGTCCAGATGTGAACCTGGATCTGCATGGCTGCACACACGTGTCACTCCCTGGAGAACACACGGCAGGAGTGCTTTAGCTGAGAAGGGCTATTCTGCAGCCTGGGCACGGCTCTCCCTACACACAGGATACTTCTGAATGGCCTCAGTTCCTCACTCAACTTACCACAGACGCTCACTTCCCACAAGCAAACTCTTCGTTGGTCTGCAGAACTGAACTCTGCTCTGTGATAATCTCTCTGGACTAGTGAGTCATCTAGTTAAATTCTGTCTTCATGCGCGCATTTATAAGTCAGCACATAATTTTTGGTAAAATGCTTAAGTGCCTGTGGCAGCTTAATTAAACACAGGGGCAACCTAGTCTCTTTTCTAGCAAGATGGCTGGAAATCCACCCTCGCTTCTACAAGAGGCGGAAACAGGCAAAGGCGACACAAAAGAGTTGTCATTCTTTTTATCAGAAAGTGTGCACTGTTTAAGAACAACATTTCTGGGCTGGAGAGATGACTCAGAGGTTAAGAGCATTGCCTGCTCTTCCAAAGGTCCTGAGTTCAATTCCCAGCAACCACATGGTGGCTCACAACCATCTGTAAAGGGGTCCAGTGCCCTCTTCTGGCCTGAAGGCATACACACAGACAGAATATTGTATACATAATAAATAAATAAATAAATAAATAAATAAATAAATAATATTTTTTTTTTAGAAAAAGAACAACATTTCTAATAATCACAAGCCAAAGTACTGAGGAACTAGTCACCAGACCATGAAGTGGACCAATCTGATGATGCTCCCACAAGCCCAATTTCCCAGCAGCCACTGCTCTTACCTAAGACATCTTTCTCGTGCTCGGGAACAAGCACTTTCCACTTAGACTCGTCAGGGTCCATGAAGTCGATGTTGATCAGACGGTAATTAGGAGAATTGCGGTTTGTCTTGAACGTGAATACCGTCCCCTCATTGGTTACGTAGTCATATTCTCCTTCAAAATTGTCTATCAGCTTTACCCACTTCAGGATTCCTGCGGAGACACAAAGCATTCTGGTCACCTCTGATACTGCAAGAAACGATGCAGGCTTCCATGGAGGGAGGGGAGGGGCTCTTCCCTTTCCATAAAGCCCAAGACACAGATGGTACCGAGAGCTCCAACACTCAAGAATGAGCAAGGGCTAGCTGTGAGTGGGGGCCAAAGAGCACTTGAACACTCTGGCACTAAGGGGGCCTGAAGGACCTTGTCTCCCACCCTACCATTGCCCACACCTGCTAACCCCTCTTCTGGGCAAGTCTCAAATCAAAGCCTGGCTTTCCACCTCTCCTGCCACCCTACAATGTCATCAGTCCTGCTCCACGACAGTGGCCCTCAACCAGGCCAACAGACACACCTCTTCTAAGCAGCATTTGCAAGGTCTACATTTTGGTTTTGGTTGCTGTGATTTAGGAGGTGAGGGTTGCTACTGCCATCTAGTGGTATAGATCAGATATGCTGCTAAAAAATGCTACCACCCACAAGTCGGTCCATAACAAAAGTCAACAGTGCCAAAGTTTGAGAAGCTTTGACCTATAGTGTTAGCTTTCTGACTGGTTTTCCCACAGCCATTCTTGATTTACTCCATTCCAGTCAGCAGGATGTCTTAATATTCTAACCTGGTCCACAATGGTGCCTTTCCCATTACACTCTGAATAAAGTCCCCACACAACACACCTAAGTCAACGCTGGCACATGCCAACTCTGAGCTCTAGGGTACTCAGGCTCTGTCCGCTGACCGGGCCAATCTCAAATGGCTGGTCACTTCTAACAAGCACACACGGTGACACTGCTCTCCAAGATACAGCTTTGTGGATTCCTTGCTACTTCACACTCAGCTTGTAGGCATTTCGCAGTTGTAAGAGCTGTATTGAATGAGGTGAGGGACGCTTGGAAATCCTTTATCCTAAGAACTGGCACAGTGGTCATCACTAAACATCTTACCCACATCCGCCAGCATCCTGCAATGGCTCTGTGAACCTTAATGATCAGGCTCAGTGACAATCTTAGAGAATATATCCGGGAAAGAAGTCCACAACTTTAGATAGTCTCCAAACATCTCCCAACTTCAACTGCACAGCAAACTTCGATTTTAATCTGGACCATTCGTTTCTACTCCAGTGCGTTTGGTAAGTACTTTGCACCTGTGTCTTATTTGTAACCACAGAATAGCTTTACATACAGTGTCGTTGACTTAAACAAATCAGGGAAAGTGTGATTCAAACACGGGAGACCAGTCCTGTGGTCAGATACTTGGATCAAAATCCCAGCCCTCCCTCTGGTAAGTCACGTGACTTTGAATGATTTCTTTATTCTCTGTCTAGCTTTATTTCCTCAACCATCAACTAAGAATCACAGGAAACATGAAAACAGGAAAAAATATTTTTAAAGTGGTTGTTAGTATATCTACTGCACAATAAAAATTCAGTGAAACTGTTTTTAAAAGTAATTTGAATTAAGACCAATAAAACCAGCAGTAAAAACCTAAAACCTTCCTAAATGTTGGCAGTAACCAGTTAAAAACACTGAGGAGGGCCTTCTAGTAGAGGCAGTCATAGGACACCTAGAAAGGTACCTAGCATGAAATGTGGGGTCTATACAAAAACAAAAAAGCAAGCAAAACCACCGAGCTTCTTCTAAGGAAACATTAAAATAAAAACACAGCACAGCCCCAAGAGACAACGACCCCACTGGAAACAGAGGAATGTGAATGTAAGGTCATTCTGAGACTACAGCCAGGCAGGAGCTCGTCTATGTCGCTGACCAGCCCAACTCTGTCCCTCACGTTCACAACACCTTAGTTCTGCCTCCTTTTACTCCTGCCGAGACTCAGCCACGGAGAAGCACACAGGCTTCACTGTCACCTCCTTCCCTAGCAGAAACATCGGAGACAAGTCAGTCTCAGTCTCCGTCCCTGGGTTCCCGTGCACGCTCCATTTCTGTTCTCTATGACTTCTGGGCCCTTTCTGCCAACAACAATGTACCTGGAAGGCCCTGTGTAAGTGTTTACAGTACTGAGATTGTTTCAGCTCAAAGGCTTCTCAGAATACATACTTAGACACTCCCGGAGCAGACCTTACAAAATGCACACGAAGCACAGCTAGACTTCTTAACTTTTTAAGTGGCAAATTGCTCCCCTCAAACGAGTACTCGGTAGGTGATCCACTCTATGGCAACAGTAACTTGCTCTCTCTCTCTCTCCCTCCCCTACCCCCCACACCCTCATGTCTTAGAACAGCAACAATTTAAGTCACTAGCTGCCAATCAAACATTTAAGGATAATCGGAAAGCTTCATTTGTTTATAGTAAAAATGACAAATCACTATTTCTTGAACTATGACATTTGTGGATACCAAATCTTGATCCAGTCAAATGTCAGATTGCTTAAATATTCCCCTGCCAACAAAGCATTCATGATGTAAACGTTTATTTCACAGCATAACCTTCTATGGTTTCTGCTTGAAAAGGTCGTGGAGACAGTGGCATTTATCACAACCCCAACCCATGCGAAGCCACTCGAGTACACACCAGCCCCAAACACTGCAGGAAATTCCTTTGTAGTGCACATAGGGGAGCCTAAAGAGAAGCAACGGTCCTCAAACAATCAGGTTCTGCTGCACAGCAACACCTCAGACAAGCCTGTGGGCTTGTCACTCCACTCTGGGCTGACTAGCTGTGACAAGACACAGTGGGTCTGTGGTGCATCAGAGCAAGAAGCTGTGACTGGATTGGTGCAAAAACAGGTGTAAGATGCAAAATGCTTTCATTTCAATTAACTTTATTATAAGAAAATAACCTGGGACTTAAAAGCATCACACACAGAAAGCAGCCAGACCTGAAGTCTATATACGCACCTCAGTGGACTTCCATGCAGTAAGGACAGACATGTGGCAGCTGTGGAGTGCCACGCTGGATTTTACACGCTTACAAATGTGTTTTACACACTTAACTACCACCAAAGCTGAAACATCCACGACAGAGTTAAAACTAGAAAGATAATTAGCTTTCCATCCTCTTTCTATCTTGTGTCCATCACAGCATCTCCTAGTATTTAGCCTTTCTTCTTCTCTCTTCTACATGTTATACTGCATCCATGTATATCTTTGTTTATATATATGTAAACATATTATATATAATAAATATACATTAAAATACATAAACAAAGATACATATGCATACACATATTATAGAGGGAAATTGTACATTATTTTCTCTTTCTGAGATTGTATGAACTCACTGAATATTATGCATTCTAAATCCATCCATTTTCCTGCACATTTGTGGTCGCATTTTTTTCTTTAGAGCTGAATAGTATTCCATTTGATACACACACCAAATTTTCATGATCCATTCAATTGCTGTTAGACATCTAGGTTGCTTCCAGTTCTTTGCTCTATAGTGAAAGCAACAAACACCGCCAGCAATAAATACTGGCTGCAAATATCACTATGGTAGTGTTGAAAAACAGTTCAGGGCCAGGCCCTCACTGGGTAGGACATGTCAAAAGGAAGCCTGTGAAGCCCCATGTGCTCCAGAATCCTGCTCTAGTCTTTGATGGAAAAATAAGAAACAATTCATTTAAGAAGAAGAAGAAGAGGGAGGGGGGAGGAGGAGGAGGAGGAGGAGGAGGAGGAGGAGGAGGAGGAGGAGGAG